CCTTTCAATGTGCATAAATTCATGCACTGGGGCACTAGTAGAATGATAGAAGAATGAGCATAGCGCTTTCTTTTTAGCATATGATTTATTTTGAAACTGGATTTATTTTCCCGATGGCCTGAAGTATACTATGATTTTCCTTACCATATGTATATTTGGCAGCCAAGAATACTTTAGGCGATGGAGATAACTGACAATTTTCTAATTTTGTAGGAAAAGAGGAGCTAAGGTTGTATCCAAGAGAATTGATGATTTCAAAGAAAAGTTTCAACATAAACTTGGAAGAGTCTTTGATCCGTAAGTTAATGATTAACTTCAAATCACGAGTGTCTGTAGATTGAATTTTAAAAGTACTCTTGTGGCAAATGTTGGCTTGTGTTCTATTTGTTTCTATCTATTAAACAAGAAAGCCATCGTTGTGTGTTTATCTGTCAGCTTCCTCAGGGCCTGTGGTTGCAGGAAAGTGCTTAGTTCTCTGGGATGGAGAGGCATTTGGAGAAGAGGGAGGGAGAACTTGGTGTAAAGCTTTATTTCATTTTAACTTATTGTGCTACATTTTCCTCTCTCTTCCCTGTCTCTGGAGACCGTCTGTTTGATAACGTCATAGTTTGGTTATAGGAGAAAATATGGGCTATTAAAAACATATGGCAAACATGTTTTAAATTCCAGGGATGCCATGTGGTGGGTATTTTAACTAAAGGGTTTGTTTTCTTGGATAGCATTGCAGAAACAATGAATGTTCATCCGGACCACACATTTGGAGCTTGTCTCCGTCCTGACGACTATGGTAAATATACAGACTTTCTCTTAACAAAACAAACAAACAACCCCCCCAGGCCCCCTCCCCCCACAACGTTATACAGTTAAGTTCACCAGCTCCTCTCAAAGCTTCTAATTTTAGAGGCTTAAAATATCATATGAATATTAATAAGAAAAGCTTGTAACACAAGAAAGAAAAAAAGTTTTTTGTGTCATGTTTGAAGTAGGCATTTATTAAAGCCGTTGTAATGAATATCTTCAATCAATTAGGGCTCACAATTTTATTTAGAAAATAAATATGGCCTGTATTAAACAAGCCAAAGTGAAGTGAGGCAGCCTTTTACTGCATCAAATATTGTATTGGCCCTTGCTACTCTTAGTTAATGAAATTGTGGATGGGGGAGGGGTGTTGATAGTGGTATAGGGAGAAGCAGGACTGGGAAATGGGAACTTGATCTGCAGACTGAAGGTGGACTAGAAACCCATATTAGGGGGGAGTAGGGAATTTGAGTCCAGTTTTTAAAAAGAAAATGTTTTTATTGATTTCAGAGAGAGAAAGGGGGGAGGGAGAGAGAGATAGAAACATCAATGATGAGAGAATTATCAATCAGCTGCCTCCTGCATGTCCCTACTGGGGATCGAGCCCAAAACTCGGGCATGTGCTCTGACTGGTGATTGAACTGTGACCTCCCGGTTCATGGGTTGATTCTCAACCACTGAGCCACACCGGCCAGGCTTGAGAACAGTTTTTACGGGGGCTCCCAGAGGTTCAGCCATCTCTGAGGCATATAGAGTGGCCCCCACATGAAATCAGCCCCAGCTTTTCAGTCCTCAGCATTGCAGCCGAATATCTGCTAAGAGGCAGTCAGGCCTCCACTGTCATAGGAAATGACTTGACAGCTGAGCAGGGCTAATGTTGCCCCCACAAAATTTATTTCTTCAGATTTTGTTTTCATTGAACAGAGAAGTCACATAAAACAGAAATATTATTTTTTGTCCATTACTTCATGTACTTTTTTATACACAAGATTTTGTCATGCTGGATCATAGTATTGGAGTTAGGTAGATTTTTCATTCATGGAAGTTGTTTGATCACTTTCTTTAGCATGAGAATACTATTGACAAATTTATATTCGGATAAAAAGACTTTTCTCCCCCTCCTCAATAGGCTCTGATGATCTCATCTATAATAGACTCCCGAGTGAATATCTTCGAGGCAAGGATAGGGAGCGAGCCATGGTTGCAGCAGTTCGTCATCACTTGAAGAACGTTAACTGCGAAAGGTTTGACTCTTTGCTGACAGCCTTCAGGCACTATGACAAGGCCAGTAGCAGAGCAGAGCTTTTTGGTTTGTGCATAGGCTTCCGGATCCCTGCAGATGGGTGCAGACCAGGGGCCAGGGAACCATGGCCTGTGGGCCAAATCCAGTCCACCTTCTGTTTTAGTAAATAGGCTTCCATGCCCATGGTTTTGAGTATTGTCTGTGGCTGCTTTTGCACTACAAATGCACAGTAGTGCATCAGAGACTGCCTGGCCTACAAAACATACAATATGTACTTTTTGGTCCTTGACAGAAAAAAAGGTTCTGACCTTTGCAGTGGTTGTCAAAGTGTGGTTCTTTACCACCATTGCTATCGCTTGGGATTGTGTTTAAAATGTACATTGCAACACCCATGCCAGACCTACTGAATTAGGAACTCAGGGGTGGGGCCTAGCAACTGTGCTTTAACAAGCCCTTCAAATGATTCGATGCACATTCACGTTTGAGAGCCATTGATGTAGATTATTTAACTAGAGTGTGCTGGGAGCAATGGGAGGGAAGCACCGTGGAACCCTGGGGTAGACTCCTGAGGTAGAGGCAATCTACATCTAAATCTGAATATGTACATACAGTACTGTCAGTCTAGGTCGGTGGTTCTCAACCTTGGCTGCACATTAGAATCACCTGGGAATCTTTTTAAAATCCTGATTTCATAAGCCCAGAAATCAGGATTTTAAAAAGATTCCCAGGTGATTCTAGTGTGCAGGCAAGGTTGAGAACCACTGGTCTAGGTCCATGTCACACTTAGAATGTCTCTCCCCTGGGGGAGCAGGGTGTGGTTTCAGTTTTGAGATGGCAAGACTATTCAATTTTCAAGTTACTCTAAATTTTATCCTTCTATAAAGTAGATCAACCTAGAGCTGTGGGATTACCTGACAGCATTATAGGTCATCAGAGGATTGCTTTACCAGGCTGCTTGCCTTTAGATTATACTGAGGAACTCTAATATATAAACTGCTTATGAGGCCATGGCACATTTTTGTTGCTATGTCCACGAGACTATTTATTTTTGTCATGTGCACTCTCTTTATAAGGAAACCCTGTCTTTCCACAGGTAATAACTGTGCTTCTTCTAAGTATTTGGTTTGTCTTTACCTTTTGAACAACATGAATTTTGCATTCATTGTCCAGACCTTTTTGACTAGGCCACCAGGAAGCTCAGAGCCAATTCAATGAAACTCATCTAGTTTGTGAATATGATCTTATAGCATACATGTTGTATGATCTTTTTATTCAAGTTTCATCTTAATTTTTTCCGTTCTTATATTCTCTTTGCTTTGATTTCCTCACTTTTATTTTGGTTCTGTTTTTATTTTGTACTTATTTTTATTGTATTTATTTTTTTAGGCAGTCTAGCAACCATTTTAGAATGATTCTAATATAAACAAATAAAAGTTTATAAGTAAGTCTGTGATAACGTGATGTATCATCTTGATATGAGAAGAAAAAAGAACAGAATAATTTTAGTTTATCTCAAAAGGAAAAATATAACATTCCTATTTCTCTTCCTCTGTTGAGTATAGTTTTGAGAAAGTTACACTTCATAATTTTTTATCTTAAAAGAATCTTAGTCACTCATAGGCTAATTAATTTTAAGTCCATTCATTTTATTTGTTTTTAGATTAGGGCCTGTGTACCTGTGTTGTCCTAATGCATAAAAAGTGGGTTAATATTCTCATTTAGGTGTGTACTAATTATGTAGGGACACACACCAACCAGTCATCAATTACACTTCTCACATAGTTGTGTTTAAAGAAAAGTATTCAACGGTTTCTCTGGTTTTTCAGTCGAGACCAATTGCTATTTACAGGTAATTTAAAAATGATTCTTCAGAATTAAAATATGTAAGCTAAAATAAATACATTTTAAGCTTAACTCAAATCCAAGTTATTTTACAAAGATGGTATCCGGGGAAATTTATGTAGCAGTGATATGAATAAGAAAACCTACCCATACGTGGTGCTCTGCTTTTAAAAACTTCTTCATTTTAAATGTAATTATAGGCAAGACGATCATCTTAATAGATGTTGATTATCTTAGCGAACCACCAGGCATACTCCTTATGATACAATTAAATTAAGCAGAGAGGAAATTACTGAGAATTATTTAATGCTGATACACCTTTTAAATAGTAAATTTTTAATATGTGTAATGTAGTGCTCAGTGTCCTTGAGGAGCTTTTTTTCTGAGAGAGTAATAAGATGTGGGTCTTCCTACTACAGCTGTAGGATAATTTTTGATTATTTGAATTTTCTATCGTTGAACGCCCATTTTTTTAATTAGTTAATTAATTAATTAATTAATTATTATAGTGCGTGTGTGTTTTTTTTCTGTTAATCCTCACCGAGGACATTTTTCCATTGAATTTTTTTTTAAGAGAGTGGAAGGGGAAGAGATAGAGGGAAACATCGATGTGTGAGAGACACATTGATTGGTTGCCTCCTCCTCCCCTCCCCCCACCTGGGCTGGGGATGGAGCCTGCAACCCCAGTACATGCCCTTGACTGGAATCAAACCCATGATCCTTCAGTCTGTGGGCCGATGCTCTATCCATTGAGCAAAATTGGCTAGGGCTTGAATGCCCATTTTTAATTTAATGCCAAACCAAAACTAACAAGATATTCTTTCTTAAATGAATCTTATTGGCTTAGAGGTTTAATTCTGTTATTTATTGAGCACACAATACATCAAACATTATCCTGGATAATGTGTAGACTTTCCATTTAGGGAACTTAAAATCTAGAGGGTGGAAAATGCATCATGTCCAAGAACGGTCACAACAGAGTCCCACATTTTCAAAAGTAGGCCAATATAATTCTCACTCCTTTTATTCTAATTATTACCTAGGAAGTAGCTGAGATGGGATGGATTCCTTTTGGGGGGCAGCTGCATTCAGAGACAAACTGCTTTACTGTAAGATGTATGAGCAGGAGCTGATAGGGGAGGTAGTCTATTTTTGAGGCTATTCCAGAGCTCAGATGGCTGTGGATGGTTGAGAGCAGGAGTGGTTCATTGGATACCTTGTGGAACAGCTGATTGTTGAGTTGCTTTTGGGCTATAAGGCACAGCACTGTCAGACTGACAATGGTCCAGAAAGCAAAACACATGACTCAGATATATTGCATGGGCCATTCTATTGCGACCGGAGCTGGTTGATTAGGCATAGCCGTTCCATAACTTGAAAATGTGTCAACAGTGGTGAGGCACCATTCATAACTCTGAGAGGGGACAAAGGTCAGCCTGCCAGGAGCATGGAGCAATGTCTTGTGTGCAGTGTGTCCCCCCCGCATCATGAGACTGATGGGTCAGCTTGTGGCAGGAGTCACAGTTTGTCACAGGGCGGTAGCCTCTGCATCAGAAACATAGAGTGCTTTACTCTGTGCCTTGTCTGTTGTGGTGGGTGTGTTGCCATGGCTGGTGCAACGATGGTTCCGGACAGCCATGGCGGCGATCTGAATGGATCAGGCTCGATCAGAAGCTTGATTCCAGTTATTCTCATTAGAGACGGGACCCTTACCAGGGTCATCTGTATGAATTACCCAGAGGGCTCATTCAGTAGCCATGATCCGTTTCCATAGTTTTCAGACTCAAAAAGAAGTGTCTTTAATCTTCTAGTCTATAGCTTTCCAAATGGCAAACCAAGCAGGCAGGCCATTGGCAGCAATCCAAGAGTCAGTAAAACTATAGCAGCTTCGTCAAGGGCAGGATTGGCCAGAGCCATAAGAATGGCCTTGATTTCTGTTCACTGGGTAGAGTGCCTGTATGTCTATTTTTGGTCCTTCGGAGCTGTCATTGAGGTTCAAAGCCACAGCAGCCCAGCGAAGACCACTGGCTTTCAGGTTAGTGAATGAGGCCCAGGCACATGGGGGGGCCTCTCTGAACTGTATGGTCCTATTGAGCCAATGGTTTTTGCTTCAGGTAGCAAAGATGCATCAAGTTTTCCCCCTAAGGATTGCTGCCCTTTTCATGTAAAACTGAGATGTAACTGGGGTCAAGCCGGCTGCCTTCTTGAATATACCATTACCATTTCACAAATGAGGCTTGTTAAGTCCTTTCTATCTTGTTAATCATTGAGTCCAAGTTGGCTCACTTCAAAATGCTTATCGGTCTGGAAAGTTACAAGGCCTCCGTGGTCAAGTGTTTAGTTTCAACAAGAGCTCAGGAACTGGCTATTAGCTGCTTTTCAAAAGCTGTCTGCCTGGTTAGGGGGCAACAAGTCTGAAATCTCATGGGGCGCCTTCAAGTGGAGGTTGCCTCTCTTTTTCCAGAGGCACTAAGTGACAAACTCATTAGTCATGGAGACTTGTAGCTCAAAGGGGCTTGTTAAGGCTGTGGGGCCCCCAAGGTATTAGCAGTTCTCTACATGTGGTTCTTCTTGATCATGAGGGCCTCTGGGTCTTAAGAACATTCCCAGTACAGGCACGTAAAGTATCAATATCACTTACACGTGTAGCAGTGGAAGCCACAGAAATACGCTATTGCTAGCTTTCCCTCCCCACATCAAACAAACTCTGCCCAGGCCCTCTAGCTGCATCCAGATGGCTCCTCCCCCACAGACTGAGTAGGATGATGACTTTGGCACCTGTATTCAAAGAAGCCACGAAAGTTGGAGTCTCTGCCCGCCCTGAAGTTCCACAGCATACTTGGACAGCTGCATGTGGCCTTTGATCCCCCGTGTGGACAGGGAGACTTTAGCCCCACGTCTAGTCATCTTTCTTCTTAGAACTGCTGAGGTTGGGGTCTGGGGAGCGAGAGATTAAGGGTGTGGAGGGAGAGAGGGTATCTGCACCAGGGAGTAAGAAACATATACTTGCAGTTTTGAGTGGTGTGGTGGTGGCAGGCAGCTCAAAGAAACACACCACCAACGTTGTCAGGCCACACAGATGAAAAAAACCACCAATGTTTTCAGTCCACACAAAGCCTATACTGGGCAGCAAAGTTGTCATTATTGATACCATCTATTTCCGTTTTGAAGATCCTCTTGATTCAACAGCCACAGCCCACGTTGCTTTTTAGCCAGGGCTGTGGGTTTGCTTTTTTGGTTGACTTGGGTTTGTAGCAGATGATTTCATAAAGGAGTCTACTTTAATCCAGGGCATTTGTAGCTCCCTTGTTAAGGTAATATGTTTCAATAGAAACAGACACACACACACACACACACACACACACACACACACACACACACAATGGTATGTTTTAAATTCTCCTTCTGTTTCAACATAAGGGTTAGGGACATTCTCCAGGCCTACAGATGTGAAGACAGGAATTTATCTAGAACTCTAGGGTCAGTGTTTTGGTCTCCAGGGATCACCTTCATCATTATAAATCCAATCCTGGACACAAGAGCTGACTACTAGTCAATGAGTCAGTTATGGCTTCCCTTGTCTGTCTCAGAGAAATCTCTCTCTCTTGTGTGCGTGTGTGTTTATATTTCCTCCTTTCTTTTCTTCTCCTTGTCCTTCTCTCCCTCCTTCTCCTCTTGCTCCTCCTCCTCCGCCTCCTCCTTCTTTTATCTCAGAGAAATCTCTCTGAGAGGGCCAAAGCTCCCTTACAGCAGCCAGGACCCATGGGGAACATACTCCATTCATGGATTCAAGGTTGGCTTAAGAGAGTTTAGGAGGGGCTGAGGAGGAAGACATCCCAACTCTTGTCATTCTTCCTGAACGAGCATTATGGGCTCTGCCCCCACACCTCCTGAGTGAATCAGCCAGTTTCTGCCCAGGGCCGTCATACATTGCCCTCCTATCACACTCAGTGTAGGTGCTCCTGTATTACACTGTTCTCTGAAAGGGGGTGCAGACTTCCCCTCCAGCCAGACCAGGATGAATTGTAGTGCTCATTGTCACAATGAGGGCTCACCACCAAATTGGTAGCAGGCCCCTCTTGCCCATAGGAGTGTTAACAACAAGCAGGCAACTAACTGTCTTAGAATCCACCTCCCTACACTTGGCTGGCAGCTGCTTCCCCAATTCTTTCTCATTACCAGGTCGTGAAGTGGAGGATCACTCACTGCCCAGTTGGGACACCAGAACACTTTGAAAGCAAGGAACCTTGTAGCGAGCTGTCACAGCATGCTTCAGATGAAATGTCAGGCATGAGTCATGGTCACATCTTCTCAGTGTAAACAGCATGATTTAAATGAAAAAAAAAATTATTAAATAGAATTAACAAAGATTCTGAGCCACACCTTGCTCTAACCAGGGGTAAAATTACTGTGCACGTAGCAGGTTGGCACCACGAAGATCAATCTTGCTTAATGTTGAACTCCTCTTATGTGACAAATAAGACATATTCATTGATTTGATGTGGTAGAACTCTTTCTTTTTTCTTAAACAAAATAATAGGTGTTGCATACCCTACTTTTGAAGACAACGCTCACTGCACCTTTTTTTGCTTTATGTCTAACAGAAGGCAGATGGGGTGATAGATAAAGATGAACTTCTGGAAGCTTGTGAGCAGGCCAACTTGCACTTGGATGAGAAGCTCCTGGACCAGCTATTTGACTACTGTGATGTGGATAATGATGGGCTGATTAGCTACCTGGAATTTGCAAATTATCTTACCTGGAAAGATAAAATGCCTCTGAAAGAGTATGAAGAGAGGGTTGTCATTAAAGGTAATTTTTGAAGCTTTGCCAAACTCTTAAATGGACTTTTATATTTTCATTTTTCTAGGAGCTCATCTCAACTTTAATACTATGTATTTAAAAATATGCACATATATATACATATTTATTTGCTTGTTTATGCATAGACTATCCATAAAAGGGTAGGAAAGAATTTGATAACATTTGCTATTTCCAGGGAGTGGGAACTGGGTAGCTGAGGGATAGGATAGCAGTGAGACTCAGTTTTTAATCTTATGTTTTTGTATCTTTGAAATTTTATTACTCATTTAAGATAAAAAAAATTAAAAGCAAAAGAATTTATTCAGAAGCCCAAAACATGATATACAGTTTTTCAGAAAGCTGTTCACAAATCATTTTTATAGAGTAACTAGAGGCTCAGTGCATGAAATTTGTGCACGGGTAGGGTCCTGAGCAGCTGCCGGCTGCCAGTTGGGGCTCCTTTTCCCCCAGCTGCTGCCTTCCTGTGGTTGGCTGGCTGGCCCCGCCCCTTGGTCAAACTCCCTGTCAAGGGGACAATTTGCATATTAGGCTTTTATGATATAGGATTATTTCTCCTCCCCCAGGGAAAAGTAGAATTTGACAAAGGAAAATTTAACCAGTTAGTTTTCGTAAATAGTAACAACAAAAAATAAAGCCATAATCTTCACTTCCATGCAAATATTTTCATGCTTACATATTATATACCTGCATCACTAATTATATATAGATATGCATATATACATATTTGTATATGTGTATGCATATATTTAAATATAGCTAAAATCACAGCGAATGTACCGTTTTTATTTTATTATTTTTTAAAATTTAACTTTCAAATTACTGTGGAATGAAGAGATACTTTTATGGTTTCTGTAAACTTCATTTTCAGTTCCTTCATGCTGTTGTATTATGAATTACTAAACCATTTCCTTACTCTGAAATTTTGGTTGTTTCCAGACAGTTTTAAAGTAATATGGGTAACACTATAACGATTGTCTCTCAAAAAGCTTTCTGTTTCTAATTATATCTCATTTCTAATGAATGCTATTATTACCCCAGAAGTAACTCTCTTTACGTATTTTCGTTTCACTTTTCTAAATGACTTTACCAATTTGCTACTTTACCAGCCAACGCTGTGAGACCATTTTACTCCAACTGTGTTACCACTGAGTGTTATTTCAAACATTCTTGTAATTTAGTCGGTAAAAATGATGCATCATTTGCTTTAATTTTCAAATCTTGATTATTAGAGAAAGATAACTATTTTAAATGGTTGTTTACATTTTTATTTTCTCTCTTCTAAAAAGTGAAGATACTTCTGCTTCTATTTTTTTTTTTGCAAAGCAGATCAATTTTTATTTATTTACTTTAAATATATTTTTTATTGATTAAGATATTACATATGTGTCCTTGTCCCCACGTTACCCTCTACCCCCCCCCCCAACCCCCGCTTGCTTCTATTTTTTGTTAATCCTCACCTGAGGGTATTTTTGCATTAATGTTTAGAGCAGCGGTTCTCAACCTGTGGGTCGCGACCCCTTTGGCGGTCCAACGACCCTTTCACAGAGGTCGCCTAAGACCATCCTGCATATCAGATATTTACATTATGATTCATAACAGTAGCAACATGACAGTGATGAAGTAGCAACAAAAATAATTTTATGGTTGGGTCACAACATGAGGAACTGTATTTAAAGGGCCAGAAGGTTGCGAACCACTGTTTTAGAGAGTGGAAGGGAGGGAGAGAGGAGGAGAGACAGAGATACACTTGATTGGTTGCCTCCTCTATGCACCCTGACTGGGTCCAGGGATGGAGCCTGCAACCGAGGTACATGCCCTTGACCAAAATCGAATCCTCGACCCTTCAGTCCAAGAGCCAACTCTAACCACTGAACAAACCAGCTAAGGCCTGTTGCTTTTATTTTTATTCCTTGGTCATGCCTTTCTGCAAGACCAAAACCAAATTTTGGGCTGTACTGATGACATGTGCCCTTACCAGTTTCTGGGATGGCCTTTCTAGTCTACCCACTAGGGAAACAGGTGCATCTTCCCTACCTAATGAAGCTCTCAGAAGTATGAGCATTGTCTTCAAAAGTAGGGTATGCAACACCTGTTATTTTGTTGAAGAAAAAAGAAAGAGTTCTACCACATCAATTCAATGAATTTGTCTTATTTGTCACATAAGAGGGGTCAAATTGTTCTTCTTGGCACAACTCATGAGTTGGGGGTGGGAGTCGGGGGGAAGCAGAAGCCTATTTTCAAACCAGACAGTTTTCATGTCAGGATTTGGGGCCTGACTTTGTCGGCCATTTTCTATGGAATTCTTGAGATTTTTATCCTTTTAAGATAGTGTCCAGTGGGTCAGAAAGGGCTCAGAAATTGTCTTATATCAAATCTACCCTACTGTTGACTTCTGCAGGAAAGGTGGTGGTGATGGGGTAAGTACTTTAAGATAGTGGCCTTCAAACAGTTTTCTGAGGAATAGGTTTTCACACTTTGAACAAATTTCTGCTTTTTTGTATGTTTGGGGAGGCGTGGGGGGTTGGGGGGTGTTTAGAGGATCCGCAGTGGGCCTGAATGCTTTCATGGCAACAGCTGGCGCGTGCTAAATGGGGGGTGCAGACCTTACAGAGACATGTCTTTTCTGGTTCGCCACTGTTCCCACCCCGCTCTCATACTAGGGCGCCATTTGCCTTTGCAAACCTGGCCTGAGCTTTTTCAGAACGAAGAGTTCTTGTAGAGAGTGAAAGGCCACAGCGCCCTCTAGTGCGAGTGTCAGTTACCAGCTCTGGTGGAAAGAATGTCAGGAATGTACTCCTAAGTTTCAGAATTGACTCAGCAAAGCAAAAATGCAAAACAGGTCAGAATCTTATAATTTCAGTTCTACCTCAGGGTTTTCTTTTATACACGGATTTGAAGGAAGTTATTGATAGACTAGTAATCAGCTCCTGAGCTCACAGTGAGTTATCATTTCTCCAAATGTTTCAATACACAGGCCTTCCCTTCCATGATCAGGTATGTATGGAATTTACAACTCTAAATGTGTCTTTTTTAAAAAAAAATTGATTTAAGAAAGGAAGGGGGGAGGGGGAGCGACAGAGAGAGAGAAGCATCAATGTGAAAGAGACACATCAATTGGTTGCCTCCTGTACACACCTGAACCAGAGTTGGGGATCAAGCCTGAACCTGCAACTGAGGGACATTCCCTTGACTGGAATCGAACCTGGGACCCTTCAGTCCAAAGGCCAATGCTCTATTCATTGAGCCAAACCAGCCAGGGCTCTAAATGTGTCTTTTGCTAGGAACAACTGTGGTAATCCTGTAGTTCAAGTTAAATATGAAAGTAAGCTCTAATTTTTAAAGAGAAGAAATAAAAATAATAGGTTCTATGTTTTTTATTCTTTCATACTTAAGAGCTTTATTCTAGAGCAGTGGTTCTCAACCTTCCTAATGCCGCGACCCTTTAATAGAGTTCCTCATGTTGTGGTGACCCCCAATTTCGTTGTTACAAATTGAACATAATTAAAGCATAGTGATTAATCACAAAAACAATATGTAATTATATATGTGTTTTCCGATGGTCTTAGGCGACCCCTGTGAAAGGGTCGTTCGACCCCCAAAGGGTCGTGACCCACAGGTTGAGAACCACTGTTCTAGAGTCAAGGGAGTGGAATGGTGAAAAGAAACATTAGACCAGGCTTCAGTTTCCTGGGATATGACATTGGCCTGAACTTGCTCTTCCACAGTGGGGTGCTGGTATCTGGGGAGGGTTTACACCAGCCCGGTCTCAGTTTTCCACCAGCAAGAAGAAACTAAATGGGAAAAATGCTTTTGTTGTGGAGTTGTAAGAACCAAGTAGTAACTTCTTCCTGTACATTTCCCCCCTTTCCCTCTTTGCTTATAGGTAAAAAGCCAGATTGTGCAAACCCTGCTGAGGATAATGCTGAAGAATCAGAACCAACCCTCCTGGTACAGCCTGAAGACATTGTCTTAAATGAGAACTCAGAAAAGACTCTCCGGACACTTCAGAGGCCAAGCGATAAAGTTTCCAGCCACTATAAGACCACTTCTTCTGATATCAATGCGGTTGTAGGAGCTGTCCCTACCATCTGTGAGTATGTCAAGGCGTTTGTTGAGATCAGAAATGATCAGCAAACATGGAAGTGATGTGTTCTTCATCTGCCCTTGCATCATCCCCAGCCTTGATTTTCATGAGGCTATAAGTTTCTCAAAGCCTAGGATCTTTCGTTTCATTCTATATCCAAGCACCCAGGGGGTCTTGGTAAGTTTAGGCTGAACTATTGTTAGTGGCAATCCAAGTAAAAGGATTCTCTGGATGTTAATGAAATTGAAACCATCACAGATCAGAACACTGAATGGTATACAGTGTAGTAATCGGATGTCACTGAGCTTTAGGAGATTTGTAAACCACATGACTCTTAGCTACACACAGGTTTGCCTTCAACTATTTGAAGAGCTCTTAAAAAAGGTTTCCCATCTAAAATGTCTTCATTTTCCATCTATAAGTTTGCTAGTCCTGCCGTAACAAGGACCACCTAGTGGGTGTCTTAAACAACATAAATTTACCATCTCACAGTTCTGGAGGTTGGAAGTCCGAGTTCATGGTGTCGGCAGGGGTGGTTCCTTCTGAGAGCTCTGAGGAAGAATCTGTTCCAGGCCCCTCCCCCAGCTTTGGGTGGCTTGTTGGCAATCTCTGGCGCTACTTGGTTTCTGCTGCATCACCCCGATCTCGGTCGTCACCTTCCCATGGCATTCTGTGCAAGTTGTCAAATGTCCCCTTTTCTCTAAGGACCCCAGTCACAATAGATTAGGAGCCTACTCCAGTACAATCTCATCGTAACTTAATTGATTATAGCTACAATGACCCTATTTCCAAATAAGGCCGCATTCTAAGTACTAGGGGCTAGAACTTTAACATATAAATCTGAGGAAGATACAGTTTAACCCATAATACCCTATATCTGCATATAGTGTATGATGTTTATTGGCTATTTAGAGAGACTAATTTATGTTGATCAAGATCACTTCCGGGTTGTAAGGACATGATTAATGATATACATGTTTTTTGTGTAACTGAATTTTATAGACTTGCTATACATTCTGGTATAATGAGGTCTTGCTACTCTTCAGAATAGTGCTGTCTAATAGAAATGTAACTGGAGTCGTATGTACTTATAAATGTTTTATAGCAACATTAAGAAAACAAGTAACATTAATTTTAATAGTATAAATGTATATAGATGTGTATATAATATTTCTAAAACATCATTTCAACAAGTAAATCAATATAAATTGATTAAATATCTCACATTTTTGGTACAAGGTCTTTGATATTCAGTGTGTGCTTTATACTTCTTCCACATCTCAAGTCAGACTAGCCACATTTCAGGTGCTCAAAATAGCCACATGTGGCTGGTGGCTAGTGTGTTACGCAGCTCTGTTTCAAAATATGTGTTTTCTTCCCTCTATGATGTCCTAGGTTATCCCATCTATGGCGTTCCAACCATTCGATCTGATATCCCTGCCCCCAGAATTCGCCGCATCAGTGATAGAACGAATTATGGTGAAGAGGGAAATGCCTATTCGTTGCTGTATCCTTCCATCTTTGGCCAGAAAGGAGTGTTTGAAAGAGACTTCTTCCAAACCAGATCCAAAAAAGAGGTACAGCATACTAATTCAAAAGGGTGGAAAGAAGTGTCAACTTTACACAAATACACAACATAGGAATGCGTATTTAACAACAACTACTTAATATCAGACTTTATACAACCTGACCTTATATATTAGTCATCAGAACTCCTTAGGATCCCCAAATAAAGGGTCCTTGAGGGTAATGTTCAATTTGGTTGTGACATTTTGGTATGATTCTTGTAGCGGAATTTATGATAGAAGCATTACTTTCACATCGTATATTCACTACGACCTACTATAAAAGAAAAGTTTTCTAAAACATTTCACAGCATTCTTAGTTGAAGAAAAGCCAAAGGGTCCATCTCTCCCTTGTGTAAGTTCTTGGGTCTCCAGAACCAAATAGTAGGCATGCGAAGGTCACTCTGCCACCCTCCTAGGTACTGCTGTTGTGTCAAATTATCTGCAATAGCACTGATTTAAAGTACTCTGTCCTGTACTGTGTGCCAGCCCATGTATCTTGTGTGTGTGTGTGTGTGTGTGTGTGTGTGTGTCCTCTCTCTCTCAGAAAACATGGTCCTCGTTTCCCAGGTGATTTTCTTCCTGGATGGGTTATAAAGCAGGAGCAGCCAGGTAGCCTCGGGCTTCAGAGGACCAAGGATTAATAGCAGGGCTTGGTCCTACCAGCTTGGTGAGAGCCGTACTTGTGAACTAGTGAGTAACTGCTTCCCAGATCCTGCATATCTGGAGGCATAAGTGATAGAATAGACAGATGATACCTTCTGGGACTTCACATGAAGGGTTGGTGGCTTGAGCACTCACTAAATACTAAATACCAGATTCATCGCAACCATTCATTCTGCTGAGGTGGGGGAGACAGGAAGGGAGACCATGGTCTCAGAGGACCATGCCTGCTGGCTGGTTCCAATGCAGGAGGCCAGGATCCTCCTCAGTGAGTTAGAGAAGAGACATTCCTGGTCTATGTTTTCACTTCCTTCAGTCACTCCAAAGGGCCTGTGAAATAGACGGTCAGGGTTCCGCAACCTCCCCCCCCCGCCCCCCCCAAAAAAGCTCACAAAAATCTCCTGCTTGTTTTATGTAATAGCCAAAAATTCTTTTAACTAGGAAGTCATCCTTTATCTCACAATACTAGATAAAAAGTAAGAACCAAAGGCTGGTTGGGGTTAACTTGGGACTAGATGTGGGTTTCTGTAAAAGTATTCTATTAATTGATCAGTACACCATGATGGGATGCTGAATGAGGGAGAATGCCTCCAGAGGACCGGCAAAGGGGCCGGAGAGGAGATCCAAGATGCCCACGTCATGAGTCACTCTGCAGGGACATTCTTTACTTGCCACTGGGTGCGGAAGAACAGCAGCTGGGCTTTGGGACCTTAAGGTGTTTTTGCTGTATGGCTGCAGCTGCCCACAGAGCTGTGGTTCTGAGTTTCAAGTGCATTTTATTATGTTGTTAATTTCCCACAAGGGCACATCATTTCCAGGGGATCTTTTAATTCTTGTTTAGATTCTGTTTAATAGGTGTATTCTGCAGCTATTCTGTTTCTTTGGCTTTCCTATTCCCTGTCTAACCTTTCTTTCATTTCCCTCTCTGCTTTTTTTTCCCCCCTGTATGCTTTAGAGTAAATGGTTTTTCCCCCTCAAGTCTTTTATTACCTCTCCTTATTCTAACATTTCTTTTCACTACCAGTTCTTATCTTTCCTTTCTTATACTTTCTCTGGGACATGAACAGCATATTTTTCCTCTCCCTTCATCTCTTCTAATAATTACCACTTCAGAGAGATGATTAATAAGCTGAGTATGCTTATTATATGTAGCTAGAGGCCCGGTGCATGGATTTGTGTGGCGGTGGGGTTGGGGGAGGGGGCGTCCCTCAGCCTGGCCTGTGCCCTCTCAAAATCCGGGACGACTCATCCCAGTCCCTGCTGCGCCTGCTACCACTTCTTGGTAGCACTGCCACGGAGGCTGGAGAGGCTCATGCCGCCGCAGCTGCGCTCGCCAGCCGTGAGCCCAGCGAGCCTGGCATCTGGCGCCAGTTGGTCAGCTGAGTGGCGCTCCTGCTGTGGGAGCGCACTGACCACCAGGGGCAGCTCCTGCATTGAGTGCCTGCCCCCTGGTGGTCAGTGTGTGTCATAGCGACTGGTTGAGCAGTCGTTCAGTCACTTAGACTTTTATATATATAGATACACACACACACACACACACTCACAAATTACCCCCATCACCACATTGTTTTGGATAAATATTCATAGTCCTATATGTTACAAACATATTATAAAAATACAAATTTAGATAAATCTTGGCTTGACTTGTAATGTTTTCTTCTAGATTGCAGAGATATTATGTAAGATTGGTGTCAAGCTTTCTGATGAAGAATTTGAAAATGTATGGAATCTTGCATCAAAAAAACATCACAGAGGAGAAGTCTGTATTGAGACCATTAGGAATGTTCTAGATGAGCTACTGCATGCAGAACGGGTGAAGTGTAAAACAACCATGTGATATTTTGGGAGTTCATTCATTTAAATAAAGGAATTGTTAAATCTATGTTCAGTATATGCTGGTTTTAGCTATTGTATGATAATTCAGTAATCACTGTGTTAGGACTCATATGCCTGTATGCATTGCTAATAAATTAGATTTTGGATTTAAAAATTTATTGTTTTTGTAAAGTACCAAAGAACTTGACAAGCAAGAGCTTGGAAAGTCACCAAAGGTGTAGTTCAGAATGGTATTAGAAGTTTGTAAGGTTTAGTATGCCTAAGAAGTCTATTCTTTTTAGTTGGTTGTCTGAAATTCAAACTCTGGTTTGTGATGTCAGGTTCACAAAATGTTGCCTTCCACATTTTGTTAATCTTCTCTTTAGGTGTCTTTTTTTTTAATTTTTAAAAACTTTTTATTGATTTCAGAGAAGGGGAAGGGAGAGAGAGAGTGAAATATCAATAACAAGAATCATTGATTGTCTACCTCCTGCACGCCCCCTACTGGGAATATTGCCCACAATCCATGTGCCCCTGACTGGAATCGAACTCAGGACTCTTCCGTTTGCAGGCTGAAGCTCTATCCACTGAGCCAGGCTGGCTAGGGCCAGCTCTGTTTTTTTTTTAACTCCATCCGTGCATCCATTCATCCATCCATTTACCCACCCACCTACCCACCAATCCACACATGCATACTTTACTTGTAAACACTCCGTTGTGTATTTCCTGTAAACAAGGATATTCTGTTACCAACCATAGTGCAGTTTTCAAAATCAGAAAATTACTATTGCTAAGGCATTATTATTCAATCTACAGACATTTTTTCAAATTTCTCCAATAACCCTCTATCATACTAATGTCCTTTATAGCAAACACATCCATGATTCCATCCATCCATCGATCCATCCATCCATCCATCCATCCATCCTTGTGACTAACCATTGCTTACCTGAACTTTGCTTAAGTGAGTGACATTTGGGGAAGAATCCTGTTTTCTGAGTGGAACAGCCAAGGGAAGTGCCTCCTAATTTACAACGGTAGGGGGCACCCCAGCATTTCCAAACCTAGCAATGAAGCTTAGCCCACAATGCAGACTAGCTGCAGCCTGCTCAAGTTGTTACTGGGAGGAGACAATTTATCATTGCACTTTCTGAAATCCAGGGTGATCCATGCAGTATTTCTTTTATTATTTAGTGGACTAAGTAGGCTGGAAAGGAACACTTTAAGTAGTAACCGAGAGGGGAGTTTTGCTTGGATTACAAAGTATCATGTCCATAGAACAAGAAAAGCAAGTATGAAACATTCAGGTGAGATATAAATGTCCCAATACGTCACCATGCTCTCACCTAAATCATGTTTCTATAATGTTCAGGACAGTCTTATTAATAGTGAAATATATTAATCACATGAAAACTTTAAAAAGCCACCATTTCCTAACCCAAGCTAATAAATTTCATACATTTTCTTCACAGTATAGCTAACCGAGAAACTTATTGGAAATTTGTAGTCCAATAAAAGTTAATTTTATTTTATGGAAAAATCACTTATGAAAACTCACCGAGACTTGGTGTGAAGAGCTGGGCTGGTTAGAGGTTAGCACCCCAATTATAAACCAACAATGAGGATAGACATGAAGGGCATTTCTTCTATTATGAAACATTTATAATAATAACCTTGTAAAAAAATAATGGGACCTATTTAAAGCTCATTTATTTCCCATCCAAGTGGCAATTTCTCATCACTCAAAATGTTAATACTTCCTCCTGAAACCCTAAGGATAAGCCAATTCATATGTGTTCATTTTTTTTTAAATCTGGTTAAAACAAGCAGGTGATTCTATTTTAATAATATCTGTCCTGCCAGCAATAAGACAGTCTCAAGTGCAACTAAATGTATCAACAAACAGATTTTCTTTAGAGCACATGGAGTCTCATATCATTTCCAAATTAGCCAATTAGCACGATGCTATTGGAAGAGCTAATTAAAAAGTGCATTTAGACTCAGAAATGTTTCCTGAGAGGAATCTGGAGCTTATAGTCCTTATTCCACCTGTAATTACTCTGCCTGATTTTCCTCTGTAGATAGAGGTGAACACACCGTTACCTGGGCAGAGGAAGAGCCTTTTTCTCTCTCTGTTGGAGTGAACTCATTTATATCAGTACCTTGAACCGATACACGTGTTTTAAAAAGGCACTCCCCAGCCTGGCTGGCATGGTTGAGCATTGACCTGTGAACCCCGAGGTCACAGTTTGATTCCCAGTCAGGGCACATGCCTAGGTTGCGGGCTCGAATCAATGGTTCTCTCTCATCATTGGTGTTTCTATCTCTCTCCCCCTCTACATGCTTTCTTCTCTGAAATCAATAAAACTATATTTAAAAAAATAAAAAGGCACTCCCCATCCCGACTCTCTAAGCTTTTAGAGGGGTGGTTAACTAGCACAGAATTTAGATGAAAAACTGAGAATATCTTTGGGCAGGTCTCCAGCCTGTACTTTGTCCTGTTAGAGATATTTCCACAATTAAAATCCTTGGTAAGTTCAGCAACTTTTGTCATATATCTATTAGAAAAGTTGAATTCTTGAGATTTATGGGTGGTAGAATTCTGCTGTGGGGTGCTTTGGGGAGATAGGATGACTAAACAATTTATATTTGATAGCCATTAAGCTAGTGCCTTTTAAATTTTAATGTGCATATCAAGCACCAGTACCTCTTGTTAAAATGAAGATTTGTATTCAGCAAGTCAGGCTGGGGCCCAGAATTCTGCATTTTTAAAGCTTCAAGAGGATGCTGCTGATTGTGGTTCACACTTGGAGCAACAAAGTTTTAAGGTTTCTGGCAATTGTGCAACTATACTTTCCGCAGATCTCCATCCTCCTGGTGCCTATAGGACTTTTTGAAAAGAGAATTTAAAGTTGATGTTGAAGACCAACTCTAATTCATCTCTTTTTCTTTTAATATATCTTTATTGATTTCAGAGAGGAAGGGAGAAGGAGAGGAAGATAGAAACATCAATGATGAAAGAGAATCATTGAATCATTGATTGGCTGCCTCCTGCATGCCCCCTACTGAGAATCGAGCCCGCAACCCAGGCATGTGCCCTCAACTGGAATTGAACCCAGGACCCTTCAGTCTGCAGGCCTACGCTCTATCCACGGAGCCAAACCAGCCAGGGCTTTTACTATTTGTACTCCAGCTCACTGCACATGTTCTCTTTTGGTAACATTCACTTTATTTATAAAAGTAAACTTTTTAGAACAGTTTTAGGTTTACAGAAAAATTAGGAGCATAGTCCCCACACACCCCACCCTGTCTTCTCTGTTATTACCTTCTTACATTAGTAAGGTGCATTGGTTACAATTAATGAACCAATACACATACACTATTATGAACTGAGGTCCATACTTTATTAGAATTTCCTTAGTTTTAACCTAATATCCGTTTTCTGTCCCAGGAACCTATCCAAGATATCGCATTCCATTTAATTGTCATGTTTCCTTAGGCTACTCTTGGCTGCTACCGCTTCTCAGACTTTACGCGACTCTGATGATTTTGACAGTTTCGAGGAGTGCTGGTCAGGTCTTTGGTAGAATGTCCATCAGTTGAGATTTGTCAGTTAAAATTTTATTTTTTAATTACAATTGACATTCAATATTATATTAGTTTCAGATGTACAGCACAGTGGTTAGTGTGCTAGTTGCTACTGGGGTGTCTTTGCTTCTCTGCCCTCCCAGCTGATGGAGCAAGCAAATATATATGTGTATATTAACGTGTATCTACACGTATTTACAAATATTTCCATGTGTAAGCATCTATATCTACATTAAACTAAACATGAGTTTATATTGATGTCTTTCCTCCCTCCCTCCCTCCCTCCCTCTCCTTCCTGGGATTCATATTATGCATGTTTGGCTGTTTTGTTTTTTCTTTTTAAATGGATTTCAGAGAGGAAGGGAGAGGGAGAGAGGGATAGACACATCAATGATGGGGGTGGGGGAAGGAGACATATGTAATACTCTTTGTAATATTTTAAGCAATTTTATATATACATATAAAAGAAATTTCCAAATATAAGTCATATCATATAGTATTTGTCTTTGTCTGGCTTGCTTCACTTAGCATCATGTTGCAAATGTCAGGATTTCCCCTTTGTATGGCTGAATAATAAATATTCCTAATATACCTAAAAAAAAAAAAGAAAAAAATTAACATCAATGATGAGAGAGAACCATTGATCAGCTGCCTCCTGTACACCCCACCCTGGGGATTGAGCCCACAACCCAGGAATGTGCCCTGACCAGGAATAAAACAGTGATCTCCTGGTTCATAGGTCTATGCTCAACCTCTGAGCCATGCCAGCTGGGTGCATGTTTGGCTTTTTGAGGTGGAAATTGCCCCTCAGCTCTTGGGTGTTTTGTCCTTTTCCTTTTCATTTTAGTTTGGGAAGTTTCTGTTGGCCTATCTTGAAGCGCACTGATGTTTCCCCCTCTGCCATGTCAAGTCTATTGATGAGCCTATCAAAGGCGGGCCTCATCTTTGTTACGGTGCTTTGGATTTCTCTCATTTCCTTTTATTTGTTGCTCTTGAGTTTTCATCTCTCTGCATATATTACCTTTTCTCTCAGTTGTCTACTTTTCCCTTTAGTGTCTCTAACATATCAATCACAGACATTTTAAATTACCTGTCTGATTTCCCAACAGCTGTGTCGTATCTGAATCTGGTTCTAATACTTCCTTTGTGCTTTTGGAGTGTGTTTTTTCCTACCTGGGCACGCACTGCAAGTTTTTGTTGAAAGCTGGTCATGTTGTGCTGCATAATACAGGAAGTGAAGTACATGGGCTTTTGTGAAGATTTATGTGAATACCGGTGGCCCGGTGCATGGATTTGTGCACATTGAAAGGATATTAATTAGAAGGAAGATTCCTGCGGTAATTATGTTACTGCAAAAAAATTACATGTCAAAATAGTATATATGATATATTATAAAATTAAAACACACGTGCTATTTGTCCCAGCGAGAGCTTCACCGTACATGTAGGAGTCAACGTTTATTTTTAAATTGCCAGTGTG